CGAGTCCCCCTTACTGCCTACGGGTTTGGTACGGGTAAAGTGGACAAATCGGATATTTGCCTAAAAGTCCGTAGAGTTGGCTCGAATAATTCCCGCGGCCGGCGCCGTTACGTGGGGGCAGGTAATCCCCGGGCGATTCCGAATGGTGACCGCGAGTCCCCCTTACTGCTGCTAAAGACTACCATTTTGCAGCGGAAACGTCACGGTCCATTAGATGAATAACCGCCCCCCGGCCGGCCGGCTCAGTTGGTTGAGCATCGGAGTTTCGTGCGCGAGGTCGTGGTTTGAGTACCGGCCTGACCAACACTCAGGGTCTTAAAATAACTGAGGTTATAAAGTGCTGCCTTTTTATAACAACTACAAAATGGTTAGAACTTCACGTGGCTCGGTTAACCACGTAAATTGGCGGTCCCGTCTCTCCACACTACGTCACCCTACTACTACGGAGGGACTTAAAGAACCATTGAGGACGTTAAGAAACCCTGGCACTGACCACCCTTAGAGACAAATCTTAAAGTGTGTGGTGGAGAGGGGACTCAAAAATTTTTTCTTTCATATGGAACCCAAAGTAAGCCAAAATAAGATTTCATTGCCCCCAGCATCAAACCCAACGATACAGCGACATTATAACTTGTTGCGATTTTGAGCCGGCAATACGGGTGTATGTTGGCGGCTAGTTGGGAGAAAGTAAATATAACCTATATTGTCGGCTGAAAACCGCAATGTATTATTTGCCTATACGAAGCAAAAAGATTTATCCTAAACAACATTGTTCTATTCATTCTAGGAATTGTCATTGCCCCGAACTGGTGGCTGAAGATCATTGCCCTCATGCCCTACAGTAAACAAAAGAGTTCTATTACCCTTGGCATATACGGTGGAATGGTAGCAGGTGCCACTATTATCGTTGCCATCAGAATCCTTTGTTTATTTCTGACTTTTATTCGATCATCAGAGATGCTTCACGATAAGATGTTAATCGCTATCCTCAAGTCCCCCGTATTTTTCTTTGATACCAATCCAGTTGGACGAATGATGAATCGCTTCTCTAAAGACATTAGTACCCTAGATGACCTACTCCCCTTCCAGTTTGTGTTATCTATTGAATCTTTCTTCCAATATTTTGGAGTCGTCACACTTACTTGCATTGTGAACCCTTGGTTTGTTCTTGTCATTGCCCCCACGGTGTTCTTGTTCTTAATCATTTGTCATCTTTATCTAAAAACTGCTCGTGAACTCTCAAGAATGGAAGCGATAAACTGCAGCCCATTATATGAACACGTCTCTGAGACCATGAAAGGATTAGAAGTCATTCATTCATTGGAAAAGGAGAATTCTAGCCTGGAAAAATTGCATGAGTAAGTATTTTAAGATCTTTTTTCCAATAAAATAATTGAATGATTAAGAATCTCATGTTCTGGTTGGTTGGGAGCACTATGCGTCGTGCTTTTCCTTACGCTTGTCGCATGTTCTGTCAATCATCAGAGTGATTTAACAAACACAACCCGACGAGAAAGAGGACTACGGCGCGCACGCTAACGAATGGCTCTCAAAACGGCAGTTGACGTGGCGACATGCGAATGTGTGCCATTTGTCAACGTGCGCACCCTCCTCTTTCACGTCGCGTTGTGTTTGCTAAACCTGTCTACCGCTACATGGAGACTGCGCGCGCCTATTTTATTGTTTTCATTGCAAGTGACTGAGTGATGGAGATCTAATTGAAAGCAATATTGCGCATGACGCATGAGGGCCACAGGTTTGTTAGTATTTTCATACTATTACGTGCTACCCTCGTTAAATGAAGTATTTATTTTTATTATTATTATTATTATTATTATTATTATTACCAATACTCTTGTCACACATTCGACCTAAATAATTGCTACGTTGTGTCCTAATTAAACACTACTTCACGTAAAATGGAGGCATTTGTTGTATTTTTTTTTTTTTTTTTTTTKTGCGAAGCAAAAGAGTTGAAGACGTTGAAGTTATGGATCGCCGCACACGAGACTTCCTTTCATTCGATCAAAATACTATAACCGCTCATTTTAAAATGTTAAAACATCTTGACACTAATGTTTTGTTAGTATCATAATATTTTCTGACATGCTGTACCTATAAATTCATATATTAGTTTGTTTCACTACTCATAGGAAACAGGATCTGTACACAAGATCATTGTCTTTGGAAATAGCCACAAGTCGCTGGGTTAGCTTGTACGTAGATCTTCTTAGCAGTGCGTTTCTAACTACAATAGGATTTGGGACGTTATTTCTGTCTTTAGATCCAGGTCAGTATATTTTAAGGCATTGATTAATTAATAAGGAGGAAAACAAATAAATCTTGATTATATACTTGACTTCGACTGATAAAACGCGCGGTACAATATTAAACGTCTCCAGTTGGTTAGCCAGGGTAGGGGCGCCATTATGGCAACATTATAGGCAGAGCAACGTCAAGGTTTGTAGACGGTAATTACAGAAGCAGCCCCTTATCCCCGATTATTGTAAAACCCTGAGTGTAAGTCGGCCTGGACATGAATCACGAGCTTCCTATACAACAGAGCTACTGGGCGTTGGTTAGCTTTGGACTTTGATGCTTTATCACTAACATATGTTTTCAAGATCTAGAGATATTAAACAGACATTTTCTCATGTATTTTATGTGTTATTTTACCTACAGCTTCAACTGGTATGCTTATGACATTTATCATTTCGACGGTCAGAATCTCTTCACGCAGCATTCGTGGCGCCACTGTAGTCGAGAGCCAAATGGTATCGGTAGAAAGAATTCAAAGCTATACCAAACTTAGCTCAGAACCAGGATACGATAGACAAGCTGAGGTGCCAACCAACTGGCCGAGTCAGGGTGCTATAAGTCTGCGCGGAGTTTCCCTGTATTACATTGATGGCGGACCTTCTATATTAAAAGACATCAACATCGATGTTCAGGCGCAGGAGAAGATCGGTATTGCAGGACGTACTGGTGCAGGAAAGTCATCCCTAATAGCGGCCTTATCTCGTATGCCGGATCCCGAAGGCCAGGTACTTGTGGATGGTATAGATCTTGGTACCATTAATGTGCAAGATGCTCGTAGAGCAATGGCGGTCATTACGCAAGAGCCTTTTCTGTTTAAAGGCAGTCTGAAGAACAATCTGGATCCTTTTGACCAATTCACCGAAGATGAAATCTGGTCAACGCTAAAAGCAGTACAGCTTATCGAGTGCGTACAGAAACTTGATGGTCTACTGGAACACTCGTTTGGAGAAGGAGGATCAGGTTTCAGTGCTGGGGAGCGACAAATGTCGTGTCTTGCTCGTGCATTGCTTCAGCGGCGTAAAATCCTTGTACTGGACGAAGCAACAGCTAATGTGGATTACAATACAGATCAGCGTCTTCAGCATGTCATCCGAAATACCTTCTCTAGCTGCACCGTGCTCACCATTGCACATCGATTGAATACAATCTTGGATTACGATAGGGTAGTTGTTCTGGACGGAGGTCACGTGGTTGAAAACGACAGGCCAGATGTTCTTGCAACAAGAAGTAATGGTGTTTTTGCCAAACTACTACGAGATCATGACGGTCAAGTTCTGCCCTAGGAAGTATTATCTGAGCATAACGAATCAGATTCTTCAAACTTATAATCATTCTAATTTGGTTGTAATTCTAAGACCAGAAAGAATGATTTCATAACAAAAAAGTCAATATTTTCTGAAACTGCTTTACACGTCGGGCTAGAGGGCTAAACAATGTCTCATTTTGGTATTTCATTAAAATTTCTCGAAACTTGGTACCATTGAAGAGCTTAACAAATTTCACAACTCTGTCCCTTTACGTTTTTGAATTTCGACATTTTTGGCGGGGCGATGGCGTTATCAATTTTAACGGAAAATCGACTCCTCAATGGAAAATTCTAACTAGCGCATTTGAAAGGACTGCGCATGAGGAGTTTAAAAATGCAAAACTTGTTCATTTCTGATATGGGAACCAAAAGATATGATTTTTGAACATTCATTAAGCCGCCATTTTGTTACTATTTTTAGAAATAAAATGGCGGCTTCATGAATATTCCAAAAATGTACCTCTAAGGTGACCCTGAGTCCTATCGTGCAGCAGCAACCTGCGCGTAAAATCTCAAATAATAATAATTATCCCATTACGAGTGAGCATTGGAAAAATAGAATATCTGCAAAAAAAAATTATTCTCATTTTCCCTGCAAAACCATTATATTTTACTTTACAACGTGCGTGTATAAAGGAGTGAATAAGTCCCTTTAAACTACAGACTTCGAATTTGCCACCATCCTATATATATTTAGCATCAAAAACGTGATATGTGAATTTGGTTAATGTAGTCCAAATAAGGAGTTTGGTCATCAGCAAGGGGCCAACTCTAAAGATCATACACACTTAACATCCCATTTCCCTTACCAAAAAAAAAAAAATGACGAAGCTCACTTTTAGTTACATGTATTTTTTTTTTTTTGTTTGATTGGTAACCAGGACAACCATGACCAAAATTTCAGACATCGAGTGCTGAACGGTCGTATGGACTTACGGCTACGCTGGAGATTTCGGCCCCAACACCGCTATCCCGAGAGGAATTACACACTGATCAGGAAGTTTGGCAGAATCCTAAGGGAGAGGTTAGTCGGCCCCTAGACCGTGATGTCAATTGTGTCGATGATGGGTATTCACCCACCAATACGTTTTTCCGTGTGGGATAAGTTTTGAAAATCCATGCAACTGACGTATCTAACACATAAACTTGGTATTGATGGGCAACTCTTAGGTTATATTCTTTTTGAAGCATTTTATTTTTAAATATACTTTAACATGAGATATTTTTGGCATCCACTAAATGATAAGAAAATAGAAAGGGAAAATAGGTTAAACAAAGAAGACCTTAAAAAGTTATGTCCAGAAACTTAATATTTCATCCAATTCTTATAAAGCTTTTGAAACCAATTTAAAAAAGTAAAATATCTTCAAAGTTCATAATGAGGAAAAGAACGACAGAAAAATATGTCAAAAAAAGCTCGACTTCTTCAAAAATAATAAAACAAATATAATGAATAATGAAAATCTAACATTAAGAAGTGTCTTGTATATACAAATCCTGAAGAAAAAAATTTTTTTAAGGGTACACACGTATATATCCGCGAACGAAGAGAAATCAGTTAACGATCAATCTATTTAATTTTTTATTATTTGAATAACACACCGCTAGATTGATTTTTACTTGTGTTGTATTGTGTAATAAATACTGTAGTGCCGCGCTCTAACGAGCAAAATAATCCATTGTAGAAATATATACACAGACTCAGTCGAAACTGAAGTTTCGCTAAAAATCCATCCAAACAAAGTCCCTAATGACTTAAGGTTCAATTGCGTTTTGTGAAATATCCATATTTTTCTGTTTTGATATAATAGGTTTTAAGATAAGCTGGCATTGCTTACAGTTATGAAGATGTTGTTTATAAAGTTAATGATTTTATTTTCCTTGGACAGCCTATTACCAGAAGGTAAGTAACCTGTTGTGTTAACCTTTTTTTTATTTCCCATGAGGACAAGATGATCCCGAAATGTCGTGTCATTCTCATATTAAACTTCATCATTATACGTGTTTCGAAAACCTTTGCATGTCAATATGTTTGAGGTTAATCTTCAATCAACAGAAGTTGAAGCCTTGGTTGATACTCGCCATTCGGACAGGAAAGTCTTTCAGATTCCATCAGTTCAACGCTTGTTGAATGGTCTGAACAGTGTCGTCGAGAAACCAGATTCAACTGTAAGGACCAAACCTCGTCTATATAATGACTTGCCATGGAGAGGTTATCAACGGCCTATGGTACGTAAAGGATCGAGTTATTCATGGCGTTTACATGATGAAGCAGACGGTGCTCTTCCAGCGACTTCAGACGAAAAAAAGGGCGAATTCAAGTTCAACAATAATGGAGCTGTTGGTAAAGGAAAATATATCATATCTAAAAAGGGCATTGATATCAACGTCAAAATGACCCTAAAAAGGATAAAAACAGCTCCAACAACAGCTCCAACAACAGCTCCAACGACAGCTCCAACAACAGTCACTACACCGCCGACGAAACCTGCTGTTACAACCAAAACGCCTGCGACGAAGCCAACATCAGCAAACAATGCTACAACACCTACAACAGCAGCAGCATCTACAACAGTAGCAACAGCGACAGCTACAACAGCAGCAACGACGGCTACAACAATAGCAACAACGCCAGCCACAACAACAGTTACAACGCCGACCTCTAAGGCAACAGCCAGCACCACCCCAAAATCAACTAATAATACGAATTCAGAAGCATGCCAAGGCAAGTGAAAATGTATTGTTAGTTCAAGAGCCAATTTGTTAGTTTCATTCTGATTCATTCTTTATGTATTTTCTTTCAAATCAAAAGATTCGCCGTTTCATAAAGAAGGCCTTGCAACACACAACAAGTATCGAGCCATTCACAACTCACCCGCAATGAAACTCAACTGCATCATGAGTAAAGAAGCTGAAGAATATGCGCAGAAATTGGCTGATCTTGGCTCACTTGTACGGTCAGGGTACAGTGAAAGACCGGAGCAAGGAGAGAATCTATCCATAGGATGCAGTAACAGTAAGGCACAAAGTGCAAGCGAGGCAGTCAAGAACTGGTAACATATGCATGGCTCTTAAAAATAAAAAAACTGTTTGACATAGTTAGATGAAGCATTTTAAACAATACTTGTTAGCACATACCAACTTGTGTACTTCCTAAGAACATGCGCGCTCATTGGTTAATTGAAGGTCAATATTTTACGATATTCACCTCTGAATCTCGGAATATTGAGTCGGCAAAAAATGGCATCTGCCGGCAATCGTTTTGCTACAATTTCCGATGAGTAAATGCCATTCCTATCAATACTAAAAAGGCAACCTAGTATGACCTAAGTTTTGCTAAAAGTTTTGCGTGAATTTGTCACGCAAACTAAAAGTTTCTGTTTGTTTGTTTTTATTGAATTATTGTATATGTTGGTATTATATGTATAAGTCGGTATATGCTAAAACAATTATAGCCTGTTTTTAAAAATCTTGAGGAGTTGATTTCCAAGTTCGATGTAGTTACGCATGCGCAGTAAAGATGCGTCTTCCTATCTTCTAATTTAATTCATTGTATGAAAATGATAGTCAATTGAAAAAATGTCGCTTGTCATTCAGTTTTTACACTATTGTCTAAAATACTAGCGCAGGATCATCGTTGCGACAAAGAAAGTTCTAGACTTCAATCAAAGTGTTTCCATGACAGCATCAAAAGACACGAAGTTTCAAAGGCTATGGAATTGAATGGAAGCACCTTGACTGACGTCTACCAAAAGCTATTTGGGTAAATCTTACGAATATGCGGGGTGTAAATCACGAATAGTAATCAATACTAACACATACAACTATTTTGACAATTTTGACATTTCATTTTAAGGTACGATGAGGTTTGTAAGTACAAGTTCGCAGAAGAAGGTCCCCAGAAAGGCACCGATCATTTTACACAAGTCGTTTGGAAAGCAAGTCTTGAGTTGGGAATAGGAAAAGCCCAGAAAGATGAGAATGGTATGACCTGTACGTACATGGTCGGTCGGTATAAGCCTCAGGGAAACTTCGATGACGGGAGCAGTGGATACAAAGATAATGTTCTTAAAGGTTCCTTTGACGAAAGTTACTGCAACACAATCAAAGATGGCGCTGGTCTTGATGGCGGGTACGGCTTAAAACGATTCAATACATAGAAGTCAAAAACATTCTCTTGGGGTAAAACCTCTTATCAGTATTGTTAAAAATAGTGCAGTATGAAACTAATAATTTTGTAAAGAAAAGCAAGATAGATTATAAAGGCAACCAAAGCGATCAAATCCATTAGAAAACAACTAAAGCGGTTCACAAACTATTAACAAACGTTAAAGACTAAATGTGAGGTTATAAAGTCGATACAAAGGCTAGAGGGAAAGCAAAAACTTACAGATTGTGTGCCTTCTGCTTGCTTGCAATCACATTTGAACAAAGAATGCTTAACCTAAAGGCCGCTCGGGCCAGTCTCCTTGAAATTATCTGTCCCGGTCTCTTACGGCCGCGACAATATAGTTAGGATAGTACGCGCGCGCTGATTGGTCGAAAACTATTTTTTGTTAGTGAATGCACCACAGTACTGACGACATCTGCGAGCGCGAAGTGCTGCTAGATTCTGCGACCGTTTTCCTTTTGCGTGAATAAATTCAATACCGAAATAAAATTAGTGACCATATAATAAAACGAATAAAACAGATTTTTCCGTGATCCATCCTGTAATAAAGCACTTAGGAAGCGCCGTAAGCTCTCAAGAAGTCTGAGAAGCTTCTCCTTACACTTCTTTAGTGCTTAAGGTGGCTCCATATAGTTTTTGTTCGCGCGCCAGGTTGTGCACGAGCATGCGCAGTATGATGACGTCAGGAAAAGTTAGAAGGAAAGTCTAAAAATAAAGTCCCTTCCCAAGTTACAACCTAATATGTGCCGCTCGCTTTTTTACTTCAAAAATGCGATGACTTTAACATAATTGCCTGAATTAAATTGTCAAAATATTCTTCAGCAAATACAGCTGGTCAACCAATCCCCCTAGGGTAATAATGATAATGATAATGATAATGAT